AGCTACACCCTTCTGTTACCTTTATCAACCCCGCTTCGCTTCCCAATTTGCCACTTACGTATTACGCGGACCACTTTCGTTTCGTAACCGCGGGAGACGCTGGTCACTCATTTGCGTTCGGGTTAATACTCATTGAATATTATAACACATTGACACGTTCCGTGCCACGTGTACCATTTGTGGTACATAATTTTTCTGAGGAAACATGTTTTGCGAGGCATGTGTCGAAGAATAGTGGTACGCGAGACAACGAAAACGTAATGAAATATCAAAATATCTTAAAAGTCAGCGAAACCTTGAATGTTAACACGTTGACTGCCACGAAAACCTTCAGAGCTTTATGTATCTTATTCTTTCTATAGCAAAGATGTAAAGCAAAAATTATTAATTCTTTGATATGAAAATTTTTATATTGCCCTATTATCTATTCATTTCCGTTATGGAAAATTTGTATTCGAAATCAATTGTCTTCCAAGTCATACTTATTTTCTTGTCATTTCAAAGCTTCGGTCATCGGTGACCGCCGTGGCAGTCAAGGTGCTAACCTATCAGTTAAAAAAGCAGTATGGTTTATAATCAAGGTATAACCGAAATTTCCGGAACGGAATGTGATAATTTGGATGTACGAATGAACGGTGAACGTGTGTGCGATAGATGAACGGCGATTAGAATATATTGATTATCTGAGTTATTGATTTTTGCGTATTAACGCTGTTCGTTTTAATGAATCTAGAATATTCCGAATACACGCGAAGCTCGTGCATGGTGACGAAAGAATGCTCTGGAAGGTGTCGAGTGAAATGGAATGTGAACGTATATATTAGGCGAGTGATCGGTGTTGGGGAATCGTATGTTTCGAGTTGTGACGTTATATTGTGTATTAAACTTCGTGCGTTATTGTTTGCGGATCTTTTATGTGCTATAAATGCGTGTAAAGTGAATAAGCATCTTTCATTGATTTTCTGTCGACGTTGACTTCAAGGTAACTTAAAGGTCATGTTGTGTAAACAAGTTTGTGAACTATGTAACTTTGTTCATTGATAAATGACCATGACTCGGGTTGACGTTTTAATGACCTTAATAATTCGCTTTGTTAACCCTTTGCACTCGAGAGGTGACTCTCAGTCACCACATAATTCGATACAACAAAACTATGAAGTTGAATATTTAATATTTCAGATTAAATTTTGCATTACTACGCGAAACAGTTAAATAAAACACCTCTGTTGCTTAATTTATCTATGAATTATCGTTAAATTAGTTTCAAACAATATCACCTATATCTCGTCAGAAAATGTTGAATATTTCTATTGAAAAACTTTCGAGTGCAAAGGATTGAACTGTGCATTATTTTGTTTTACGTATTAAGATTATTATATAGTATGTAGACTCTAATGCTAGTACGGTGAACGAAGTAAATAGCCTCTCCGAGGTTAAACACTGTAAATAGCAACCTTCCATCATATTTTCGTTAAGGTTAAGCACACTTTCGCATGGAGTTATTTCGAAGTATGCTGCTTCTTAGAATCATTATTTTCTTACGTTTCAGTGACACTCGACGCTTAGGAAACTTGTTTTTAAAATAATATACCAAGTAGCTTTTAGATTTTCTAAGCATATAAAAACTGTAGGGTCGAATTAAAATCATGCTAAAATATCTTTTATACCGCAATATTTAATCATCAGAGATTTGTTTTCACTAGGCCAGTCATTATTTCTAATACATCACTTCACAAAAACGAAATTCGAAAATTGGAGAACTAAACGTACTTAAAAATAGAGTAACAGCTTATTAATCCTTATTAAATATATTTTACAATTTATACACCCCATTCTTCACGCAATTATTTCTCATTAATTCTAATGTATGTAATTCTAGGTAATAATATCTTGAGTCTCTCAAAACTCTTCTAATATAAATTTCATTAACACGTTGAACGCCGCAGTACTTTACAGAGCAAAATACAAAAAATGGGGAAAATATAACATAATATTAAATATTTTATTATATTATATTAAATATAATATAACATATAATTATATTAAATATAATATAATATAATAAAATATAATATTAAATCATTTGATTGAATTGCATTATCATTATTGCACATTCATCTAGCTGAATGTCACCGCATTAGGTAGTATTATTTATAATATAGAAATATTTTCAAATAATCAACGTGTAATCGAACGAACTATGGTAATTCGATTTGGTTTGGGGTCACCGGTGATTAAAAGAAAACTCGAATTTCAGATGGTAGAGTTGAGTATCTGATTTAATAGAATGAATGTCGTAATTTATGAATTGAATCGAGACGTCAGCTAAGTATACTCACGGAGAACGAGATTGGCCTGTCGTCTCCCATTTCTAGAGTCACATTGTTTACGTCGAAACAATGCTTGTCATTTCCACGGAAATCTTAAAGCGAGGGCATCCCGAAAACTTCGAACAGTCGGTGGAATTCTCTTCTCGGGTGCTCGGAGGGTGCAGAGTGAAAAAAATTCAGGGAAGGAATTCCGATTGTATTGTTTTTGCTAACTGAAAGCACTCGGGCTGTCCATTGACGAGCACGAGACGTCTCATTACCATATCTCGACAAAGTCTCGGCGAAAGTCACGGTTGATTGTTTCGTCCTGAAGGAAATATTCCTGGACAGGTATTACCGAGTTCTTGCCTCAAAAGCACGATTATTGCTGACACAATTGCCCCGCGTCTGGAAGTCGATCATCTTAAGATCGGACGGCGCGTCTCGATAAACGAAATCCCATCTACGATGGAATCCTATTAGCAGCTTTATTAACCACTTGCGCTGGAAATGAATTCAGAAATTTGGCAAAGTCCCCTGCGATGAATTTTGATTTTACCTATTTTACACTGATATGTATACAATCAAACTTGTTTTTGTACGGTAGATAGGGACCGCATAAAAAGAACCGCGCAAAAAAGTGTTCAGAAATTTACGAAAAAGTGAGGTAGTGCTTTCAAACAAAATAAATAATTAAATTACACAATGCACATAATTCACTGCTACTCGCCGTAGTCCAAAATGCGCATCTTCTTGTGAAAAGAAAAGAAATCGCACGAAAAACAAAACGCATAGAAAAGAACCGCACAAAACAGGTTTCACTGTACTAATTTTGTTTGTTAATCATTCTGTATAAAGTGATACATTTCGAAGTAATCTAATAGGCGTAGTGCAACAAGATTATCAATGTGTGAAAGACATCATTGAGAATTTTGAGGTAGAAACGTCTCGACGTACGTGACACGTCTTTCCAGCGCAAGTGATTAATTACAAGTAGAAACCAATAGTATAGAGAATTTGTATTTATAGTTATTGATTTCTATATGTGTCACAATTGGTTTACGAAAGAGTGATGTTAATATAAGGAAGAGTATATAATTAATTTATGAGTGAATTCGGGAGAAATATTCTTTAGAGTGTAAAATACGGTAGAAGAATGTATTTAAAATACAATACAGAAGGCTCATTCATGTGCGTTCAGTTGCACGTTAGAAGAATAAAATGATGAACAGAAGTAATTGAAATTGTCTAGTTTGATTTATTTGATATAATAATTGAAATTGTCTACGTTTATCTACTTTATATAGTATTTGAAATTAGATAACTTCATCTGCTTCATATAATATTCGAAACTATCAAACTTTACCTACTTCGTGTAATATTTGAAATTACCTAACTTTATCTACATTATATAATAAGTGAAATTATTAAACTTTTCCTACTTTAAATAATAATCGAAACTATCAAACTTTACCTACTTCATATAATATTTAAAATTACCTAACTTTATCTACATTATATAATAAGTGAAATTATTAAACTTTACCTACTTTAAATAATAATCGAAACTATCAAACTTTACCTACTTCATGTAATATTTGAAATTACCTAACTTTATTTATTTAATATTATAGTGATCCCGCACAAGCCCCCAGTTTATAGTGGGGCTACTATTATTATAGATATTGAAAAGGTGGATCTTCAGTAAAAAGAGAATTAGGAAACAATATATATGCATTTAATGAGATAAAGAAACAGTATGGACAACACGTAAAAATACAACTTAATACCACGAAGGCCAACACACGACTCTCCATCACGCACAAAATGTTCTTCACGCTCTCTCACCAAAAAGTACCCCTCGCACGCATTCCCACTCGCTTTTAACACACACCCCCATTCGCTCTGTCTTTCTCACCCTTGCACCCTTCTAACTCGCATCTTTCGTCCATAGTCAAAATTCACGCAGTCACGTACACGCTTCTCTCACGGTCCAGTCGCTCAGTTCCAGACACTCTTCCTCGTATTCTTTCAGCGACTCGAAATTTTCTAAACGCAGTCACACTATTTTCCAAACATCCCGGCGCCGATCGTCGCAATACGACCTGGTCACCCTTACGCACGCACAACAAATTCATCCTACAATACTTTAACCTACGCTAAATAATTCTAGATACTGCAATATAATAATTACAATTACCCAACTTCACCTACAATAAAAATTGAAACCATCTACCCATAACGTTCACCTTCCACCCCTTCTTCCATCCTAAACAACAGTTCCCCCGCGACCAAATCCAACCCCCTGCCATCAACAGTCATTCGCACCTACCACCCCTCGCCATTCAATTCCACATTCACAAAGTCTCTTTTCGTTCTCCCATTAATCTCCATTTTGTCCCACGGGAGTGCGATCAGCGAAACGTCCCTCATTAAACTTCTTCTCGAATGTGGCCCACCCCAGCCGCGTCCCATAAAAATCTGTCGTTACGTATCGACGGGACTCCGCTCGCTGTCGCCGTGAATCTTACCGAAACCGAGTTCCGATTTGTTCCAATTACGAAGGGCGGCCCATAAAATCCACCAGCGAGACGCGTTTCCTGCCCGCGCTCCGCCCGTACGCGTATAATCGATGGTTCACCCCCGCCGGGGGAATCTCATGGCGTCTAACTGTCGCATGACTCATTTCAGGCGGCGGGCTGGCGCGTCCGAAGATGACACTGAATCTGGACGCCGGGAACGGGGCGAACAGCGCCGGCGGCGCGGGTCAGCTCGCGCCGAAAAAGCCTGGCGGCCTGAGCCTCGGATTGCCGTTGGAGATCAGCGCGGCGCGTGGATCCGCCGACCTCGTCGACGTGGACCTCCCTCTCGAGAGACAAGGGTACGTCGTTCGAATTTATTTGATCGCCAGAGACGAGCGTCGCCGTCGACCTCCATGCGCACTTACGGTCACTTCGCGTTTGCTTTCGGAGATCTTGCGGGGTATTCGAATGCTGTTGTTCCGTCCTATGCGGAACGCCGTAAGTAGAAATTCTCGAAGTTTAGTTTATGACATGAACGGGATAGACAGTTTATTTTAGTGTTTATCCTTCGTCGATATTTTAGAGTTTCAGTTTCTACAACCGTCATCTATCCGTCGCGGTAGGTAAAGTTTATCTTAGTTCCTTGGAATTTCATACAATGGCTTTAGATTTTCGTTTCATCCGTCTTGACACTAAAACTACCGAGCAATTAGAGTGATTTGTTCCCAATTTTTTATAAAAATTAAAGCAATGGATTTCTTAATTTAAGGATTTCTCTACAGATCCATAAATTTAATTGAAAATCTTTCGCAGAAACGCTTTCGTCGTTGAAATACTTGCAGAATAAAAATTGTCAAGTGGGTCGATTTGACCCCTTCGGTAATTTTAGTGTTAATAACCGAGCAGGTCATAAACTAGGTCTTCCGAAGGATCGGCTAAAACATGCGCATGACGACACTTCCAGACCAGAGTCGACCCGAAGGAAATTTCCGCGTCCCATCGAAACTTCGAGAATTCCCCCATACTCGTACCTTGCCCTCATCCCGCTCGGAAAGTGGCCGGTTAACACGTTGAATGCCGCGCGATTTTATAAAGCAAATTACACAGAATGGAAAAAATATGATATTGAATCATTTGATTGAATTGCATTATTATTATTGCACGTTCTTTTAGTTGAATGTTACGAAATTGAATATCATTATTTGTAATATTGAAATGTTTCCAAATAATCGTCGTGTCATTGAGTGAACTGTAGTAATTTAATTTGGCTGGGGGTCACCGGTGACCCCCACGGCATTTAACGTGTTAAAGGGCGTTAACTAGTTTTTAAGAAATGGCAAAAATGCGTTGGGTTAATCGTGTTTAGTTGCAGCTGAGTAAGTGCATTATGGTTGTTGCGTTAATTTTAGAATTATTCGAGTGGTAATGAGTAGGAAATTTTTGGCGATTGTGTTACTTTGAGGATTATTAGATCGTTATATCATTTTCGTGGTGTAATTTTCTATTGTTGTATTTTTATATCATTTTCGTAGTGTAATGTTTTATTACATTGTCATATAATTTGTGTTATAATATTATTAGTTAATTCTAATTGTCATAGTTTATTTCTTCCTCTGCTGTTCTCTATATTTTTTTCCCTTCATTTCTTTACATTGTTTCACTGTGTATTTTTCTATTGTTCTTTTACCTTGAATTCAGTGATCTTCAAAGGCTAACAGAGCGTGTCTAATATATACCGTGAAAGTTTCCGAGTATCAGACATCGTTCCGAGCAGATAAAAGTTTGTTCGTTTCCTTGCAGATGGTACCACGGATCCATCACGAGAATCGAGGCAGAAGCTGTCCTACGACTTCTGAGGGAAGGAAGTTACCTGGTGAGGAACAGCGAATCGACCAAACAGGATTACTCTTTGTCATTGAAGTAAGCTTTACAACTGTACACTTTATTCGTTACCTCTTACATTCATTCATTCTTCAATTGGATTTCATGGAGCATACTAAAAGATGCAAACATACTACAAAGGATTTATTCTCGTGTCTCAGTTGAACCACTCACTGGACAAATCGGTTAATTCCATAAAATAAAAATGGTCGATAAAGTGTTTTAACGATAAAGTTTCAAAAGCTTCATAAATTGGAGGTACCCGGTTTGGCCAATGATGGGGTCAGTTTATCTGAACTGTCAATCTTTCAATCTCCACATTCCTCAGTATCAAATATTGTCAATCAAATTGGAACAGTCAAATCTTTTTTCTTATTATCAATCAAATATATGCACTGGAATAATTAAATTTTCTGTGCTGTCATCAATCAAATGTATTAATTATAACAATCAAATTTTCTTAATTATCAGTCAAATATATTCACTGCAATAATAACATTTTCTCTATTACCATCAATCAAATATATTAATTAGAACAATGAAATTTTCTTTATTATCAACAATCAAACTAGAGCAATCAAATTTTCTTAATTATCAATCAAATGTATTCACTGGAACAATCAAATTTTCCCTATGAATCGAACATACGCACCGAAATAATTAAATTCCTCCTATTCTCGCCAATCGAATGCATCAATTGAAACAATAAACATAATTCTTATTAAACATTCCAGAAGCGCGCGCGGTTTCATGCACATGCGTATCCAGAAGAACGAGGAGTTGAACGCGTACATCCTCGGCCAGTTCAGCAAGCCGTTCGACAGTATACCGGAAATGGTCCGGCACTTCAGCGTGAACCGTCTTCCGATACGCGGCGCCGAGCACATGTGTCTTCTGCATCCGGTCATAGCGCAGCTTTTGTAGCGCATCTATCGTAGCGCCGTTTAAGGCGCTCCGCAATCTTTTTGATATCCCGTTTATTCAATGAGATTCAGTGATACCGGAACGTTTCGAGAGCGTACCTACGCACCTTCTCCTGTGTACAGAAGATCGTTGCTCCACGGAAAATCCACCGACACCGAGCGGCCGACACGCGTCGCACTTCCATGAGAACATTTCCCACGATTTCTCCCCTCCCCACGCCGTCTCGCGTTTTACGAGACCGCCGCTAATCACAAAACATTCCGAGCTTCCGAGATTGCTGATCGACGAAACGTGGAGGGGAACGAAGTCGACAATTGGAACTCTGCGCCCGACGGGAATAGAAATACAGTACAAATCAGCGAGGAGTTTCTGTGAACTCGGAGAGCGAGCGACCTCGGCGTTACATCGTATTCGTTCACCTAAATCCTTTACGGTTGCATGTCCGTTCGTCGAGCAACTTCGTCAGCGATAGAGAACGATCAGTTTCATTCGGAGTACAGTATTGCCCGGTTAACTGTCGTCGAGTCGGGTCCGCGACGCGACCGTTATTCGGGTAAGTATCATGGTAGATACTTGTTTACCTTGGAGACACAGAATCGGTCAGAAATTATATAGTTAATTTATCTAGATTATTATAATCTGAAACCGTATCGTTTCCTTCGTGTTTCATTCATTTATTATCAATATTACCTTCGACATCATTGCTCCTGATTAGTATTGAATTATTATAACGTACACGAAAATTCAAACATTCGTTTCACGAAATCGGTATATTTTGATGTACCAATATACTTGAATTCTAATTTAATATTCTATATACCAACGATTGCTACAATTTTCATCGACTCGCGACCGCAAAGCGGGCAGAGGAGCGACGCTTAAACGGGCACGACTGTACTAAGGATACGGACGCAACAGCGGAGTCCAGCGATGACGACGCTTCGAGGTCGGATCAGTCTCGTCTTCCCCAGAAAAGAGAATTCTTATCGCGAGCCTGTATCTCGCGCGCTTTATTTTCGCGTAGTGGATCTAGAGTTCATCCCCCGCGGTCGATTGGTCGGCAGGGCAGCTTTCGCGGTGATCGGATCACGGGAAATCGTGACGGCCAATGACTCGGGAGCCAGAGGAGAAAGAGAAACTCCGTGTTCGCTGAGAAGTGTCGAAGAATCTAGGAGTCCGGCGTCCTGAGTGGAAGAGGATTCGTGTAGGGTTGTCGCAAGAGCTTTACAAAATGGTTGTTCCTTATGCTCGTGGGCTGGGCGGCCACGGGTTTCATGTAAGAAACTATCGATGGGATCAGACTCGTTGTCTTACAAGCCGATAATCTAACGGGGCGCGAGATGATACGTATTTAGGTAAGTAACACAACGCGGTTGGCCCGCGCGGCCACCGCGACTGGAGCTGGAAGCCAAAGAAAACGGAGCTAAGTTTGCGTTTCACGTTCGTGCGAGAGGACTACGGATCGACGAGGAGCGAACGAATGGAGGGACGCGCGGCTTAGCGTCTTCGCTGCCAATAGCATCGTTGATACGCAGCGTGTCAACGATGCGCCAAAGGACACCGGCTGATAAGTCGCTCACGTGAAATCAAAGATAGACATCGCTTTTCATCGATGCTCTTCGTTATCAGCTAGTTCTAACGCGAAAGTTGGGGTCAACGGAGAAGGATTTTCATTTTGACGTTGTTCTCTGAAGGTCTTTACGTTATGATGACAAGGTTTGACGAAGACACTTCGTGTGCATTTACGAGAAATGTTGAAAATTGCATTGATTCGTGGATAAAATATCCAAAGTGTAATGCTTCTTATAACGTTGGTCGTGAGGAACCATTTTCCATCGGAACTCTATAACTCGAATTGTGTTCTTAAACAGTTGGATTCGCACGAAGATCCGCAGTCTAATCATAACGTACAGAGACCCCGAGAGTAGGGATCGACGCCTCTAACATTGTCCTGGTGGCAGCGAATCCGTTAAGCAGCTGGGCGTTCATAAATTTGCCAAAAACAGTTTTACCGCTAATCGTAAGATCATTTAGTCAGGGTTCTTAAGTTGCTCGTCGTCGTCGACAAGCGGTTAGGCTCAGGACCAGCGAGCTGATCGACAGATTATATACTCTTTACGTTGGTGTTTGCGAGCGTGCGAAACTGGGAGAGGATTGTGGACGCGGAAATGAATTTGTTTAATTCGTCCAGGCTGACCTTTGAGCGGGAGGGGCGAGAGGTTAAAGCACGATGTCGCGTCGTTAGGGCAACGGTTGAGGGGTCAGCCGATCCGAATCGTCGATGGCTCGTCCAACCGAGTCATCCGTCCGACAGTCTCTTATTTTTGGGGAGATTTTTCTGTGAGAAGAGGCAACCGATACATATTTTTTCATGTGATATCAATTTGTTACAGAGATAGCCTAGTTTTACCTGTGATCTGTTACTTAGTTCCCTTTATCCGTGTCTGTTGGTCGCTGTGTGCAATATTCTCGTACGTACGATTATTGGTAACGATAATAATTATATTAATACTGATAATAGTCATAGCGCATAACGATAATACTGATTAAAATTAATTACGGTAATTACGATAACAATATTGCTAATTATAGCGTTTAGCACTAACGGTAACTATTAAGTCGCTGTAACGAGATGTTTCGGGTAGTCCAGCAACGAGGCGCGCGGCCCGCCGCGACACGAGAGACGTCCGTGGTGTTACAATAATTATTTCGTGCTAAGGGTCTCGATTCGCAGCCAGGTTGTGAGCGGAATTTTAGTTTCGTCGCTGGCACCGGCGACGCGTAACCAAAGATTTTAATTGTAACTTTCTGTAGGATATATTAGGACCCGCGACACTAGTATACTTAATTCACCGATTAACGTACTTAGTATCCCGGAATGTTTTTTCTTTTCTCTTGTCGAACGTTACTGAGAAAAAGCAAATCTGTGTTTTAATCAAGCAGTAATGGTCTAACGGTTTCAATTTGATTTCTTCTCTTTACCACTACTCTATTGATTTTTTATAAGATTGTTCAGCGTTGCCGAAGGGAAAGAATATGTTTTTCATAGTTATTCGAAGTACATGTTACGAATACAATTGTTTATTATACTGTTTATGTACTGTTTGAACTGTAGTATTTATTTACTTCGTAAGTATGAGATACAATTATCCGTTTGTTGTAATATTAATAGCTTTTTTATTGAAATACAGATGCTTCTCGATTTCTTTTTTAAAAGTTTCCTTTAGCGATACATATTATTTAAGAAGCGCACGTGAAACACTGGTATTCGCTTTTCCTCAGTACCTCCTCATTCGTTACAAATCTATACTAAGTTCTGAATTAGCGTGACTCGAAACGAACACTAATCCGAGGAAAGTACCATTGCCATTCCAGCAAGTAATTCATTTCGCTTCGAAACGAACCGCCGACTATTGCAACTCGGACACAATGAAATTGTACACAATATTCGCGGGAAAGAGAAAGCGAATATAACTCCGTTAACGCTAATCCGGGGCGAATCGTCGCGCTAACCCGTACTCCACATCATTCCACACTACACGACGTTTACAGATCCGATTCTCCTTTCGCTTCGGTTTCAATGAATCGTTTCTTTCCAATGAGTTTCACGTGTTACACGAAACACACCTACACGGAACACGTACACGCGTACTCATAGGGACATACACGTTGTACTTTAAGCTGCCAGTATTATTAACTGTAATCAATAATGCATATCCATGTTAACGTTTAAGACATTATATTGTCCCCCTCCTAACGAACGATTACAAAGAAAAAAAAAAGTATAATATATATATATATATATATATACACACACACAAATATATATATTTATTTGACATTATATTTATTGCAATTTTGTCGTTAAGCCGATGGTCTTGCGTAACGGTTCCCGTGTACACTGTTAATTTCGCCCGTAAAGATCGTAGCGTGGTAAATTCATGGTAATCTTTCTTCTAGGTATTAGCGACACGTAGATCGGCGGCAAATTGCCAAGAAAAATGGTAAAACACAGGAGGGAAAACGGAAACCTAGGCAAGCCGTGAATTATGTGGTAGAAGTAAAAACCTTTGTAGATACTTCCTGTACCTTGAAATTTATATGACGTAGCGTTTAGCTCCAACGTATATACACGATATACGTATACATGAACATATATATATATATATAAATATATACAGTAATATTACCGGATATTACCGTATAGTCCTTTATATATATAGGAGATATACACAACCGTGTGCGATCGGAGGCAAACCGAGTTATACGAGATAAGTCCGATATGATTAATAATTAATAATTATACACTCGAGAGCGCTGTGTACACATCTTTCATGTAAACGGATCTCGAACGGTGTGATGTGCAATAACGAAGAGCGATCTAGTGCGGTCGCAGTGCGCGGTGCGATTCAGTATTTTTGTTTTAGCATGACAGACCACCGATGTTCCAAATCGACTTCACTAGATAGTCTTGTGTACTCCGAAACTCCCTCTTAATAATAAAACATTTAATAAAAGAACGGGTTTGTACGGTGATTTCCGTTGATCCTGTGGTTGCTTGTTCTCTTTTATTTATTTTCACCCTTCGACGACTATCGTAGTCTTGTATTACTTATCGTGTGATCATTTATTCGTTCCTCTGTTAACAGTAGAACTACCGAGCACTTAACACGTTGAATACCATGGGGGTCACCGGTGACCCCCACCCAAATTCAGTTACTGCAATTTCCTCAATTAACACGTCGAATGCCATGAGGGTCACCGGTGACCCCCAACCAAATCGAATTACAATAGTTCATTCAATTAAACGATGATTATTTGAAAACATTTCTATATTATAAATAATACTGCCTGCGGTGACATTCAGCCAGACGTACGTGCAGTAATAACAATACAATTCAATCAAATGATTTAATATTATATTTTTTCATTTTGTGTATTTTGCTCTATGAAATCGTGCGGCATTCAACATGTTAAACGAGGATTATTTGAAAACATTTCTATATTGGAAATAATGCTATCTAACGTGGTGATATGCATCAGAACATACCTGCGACAATAACAACGCAATTCAATTAAATAATTTAATATACAAATATTGTAAATAATTTAGTATTGTATATCATTCAACCTGTTAAACCGTATTTTGAAAATTTCTTTATAAAAGCTATATGCGTGAATTTATTAACATTTCAATTGGTTTATACTTCAGTTTAGGTATTACTGAATCAGCTTCTTTAACCATTTCTTAAAGAAGTATCTGTACGTTTGAAGTCATTCTAACAGAAAAAATAAGGAATTAGTCGTTTTGACCCACCCGGTATAGTTCTAGTGTTAAGTATTTATTATCGAATAATTTATAACTGTCGTGGCAGAATATTCTTTAAACTTTACTCGACCATCGAGCGCCACAGTAATGGCGACTGAACTTCGATGTGTATCGTTTCAAGTAACGAGAGATCAACAATTGGTTTTCTTCTTTTTTTTTATAGAGAGATTTTTGAAAATATAATTATAAAATTTTCACGAGACCAGCGAATTGACCATTCAATTGAATTTTTATTAGCCATATACGTCTTCTTCTTCCTGCACCATTTCGTAATGATACATTTGATCCGAATACAAACTTCGATGACGCATTCCTTCTTTGTCCTGTTCACCTGTCTGTTTCATTTGCACTTCTTCCATGAACTACGAATAAAAATATAGGATTGTTAATTAATGTTCTTCGAATCTATCTGCATTTAACGATTTTGTCAGCTGTACCTCTTCTGTGGCCGGAGTTTCTCTAGCTACACCATTAGATACCCTTTTTGAGCTCTTTCTTTCTATAAAAACGACGTTTAACGCATTTGAGTTATTATTTTCATCATGTATAATCTTGAAATAGCAACAATTTACTTGGAACAATCGATGCTTGTTTCTCCGCAGCTTTTCGAGAAGACGTAGCACCGGATAATGGTCGTTCCTAAATAATTATTTCGTAAACATACAATTCTCTATCCATTCAAAACTAAACACTGTACATTAATAAAATTATCTTAATTCGTGAAGAAATTTTTGAAAAATTCAATGAGGAACAGAAAATTACATTTTCCATATTCTGTTTAATTCTGAAAATATGGAAAATCACATTTTTACTCAGATCCTAAGTTTCATTTCGGGTGACCTACTTTCATTAAATGACACTTCATTAACCCTTTGCGGACGAAGGTTCCTCGAAGTACAGAAAACGGTCAGCAAATGAAGCTAAATTATATATCGATTGCTTACATAATTGCAAACAGAAAACTACGTGCTGATTTCTTGCTGTTCGAGTAATTAAATCATCTGTTTGCACCTTAGCGTTCCAAATATGAAACTTTCATCCTGCCAAAATGTCGACATTCGTCCGCAAAGGGTTAATTTTCTCTTTTAATGCTCTTTAGTAAACTCAAGAATAACTACCGAAGCTTTTACTTCGTCTCCGTTGTCCTGACAATAGGCAGGTCCGCAAACGTCAATTTTTCCAGGTGGCGGTCGACCCCTATACAGCTTTCCGTCTGTTCCCTTTATCATTCCTTCGGTCAACTGCACCACTTCCGGCCCCCACTGACTGATAAAGTGACCCATTCGCATCACTCTCTGCTGAGGCGTCGTAACCGTGTGACTTCCGCCGCAATATCGATTGCACAAGTGATCTCTGCAAATTTGGTATCCATTGCCATACGGAAATAATCATAGCAAAATTGTAGTAAAAAGATGTTTAAAATAACTTCGAAAAGGCTTTCACATTTCTCTGCAAATGAAAATCATTGAAGGTTTGCGTTGTACTGTGCAATGAATTTTAAATTATAAATAAAAACGAATTGAGTTTGTCTCTGTACTTTTTGTGGGATTAATTATAATTTTATAGGGTTATGGGAAAAGTTGTATAATTAACTAGAATTTCATAGAATTATAGGAAAAGTTATACGATTAACTATAATTTTATAGAATTATAAGAAATTGTATAGGATTAACTACAATCTTATAAAATTATAGGGGAAGTTATAGAAGTAACTATAATTTTATAAGATTCTGGAAAAGTTATATAATTAACTATAATTTTATAGAATCAAAGAGACGTTTATAGAATTAAGTGTGATCTTATAGGATAATAGGAAAAGTTATACGATTAACTGTAATTTCATAGAATTGTAGGAAATTTTATAGGATTAACTACAATCTTATAGAATTATAGGGGAAGTTATACAAGTAATTATGATTTTATAGAATTAAATTTATAGAATTAACTACGATCTTATAGGATTATAGGAAAAGTTATACAATTAACTATGATTTTATAGAATTAAAGAAACATTTATAGAATTAACTACGATCTTATAGGATTATAGGAAAAGTTATACAATTACCTATAACTTTACAGAATTGTAGGACACTTTATAGGATTAACTATAATCTAATAAAATTATAGGGAATGTTATAGAAGTAACTATAATTTTATAGGATTACAGAAAAGTTGATTAAGTATAGGTTGTGAAACAAGTAACAGACTTTTCCCCTTCAAGCACCTAGGTGTTTTTACAAGCCTGTCTGATCTCGCGGATTTTTGCTTCTTCGCCTCCTCTTGCAAGGCTGCCTCAAATTGAATCATATTTCTGCTGTGAGGCAAGCGTCTATGCTGTTTTCTAACTTGATCCAATTCGTAGGTGAGATACGGCTTCATACTGATGCCACACGGGAATGGTTCCATTTTTAATTTGTTCGTGTCCTGCATCTTCATTACCACGTTCTTGTCGCAGGATATGCATTGCACGTCCCTAGTAAACATTCGTATAAGATCCTGATAAATCTACATCACACACCGTTTAAAGAATAACTAATCAATTAAATAATTTACAATTTATTAACCAATTAAATAATAATATATATTAAATAGCCAGAAAAATTGGTGTAGCTTGTTAAAATAATTAATAATTTAAAACAAGAATGTTTTAATTGTTAAAATAATAACCCATTATACCTTTTTCAACGATGTACTTTGTACATTCGATTTTTATAAAAATCTTGGAATTTCCCGAATTCTACCAAACACTGCAAGATTCTTTTGGTTACCTAATACTTTGTCAACTAGTATTTCCTTTAACACGTTGACTGCCACAAGAATTTCGAGCGGTTTGTTATAGTAAGATTTATTCCTTTATGATAGAGGAAAATAGTATTAGAAAAAATTATTAATGTTTCGGTAATACAGTACTCATATTACACTATCATGTAGTTTCTTGTATTACTAAATATTTTCATTCAATATCAATTTTCTTATTGTAATTGTTTTCAAGCAATTTGGAAGCTCCGGTCATCGGTGACCACCGTGGGCAGTCGACGTGTTAACCCTTTGCACTCGAAAACTTTCCACTAGAAATATTCAACGTTTTCCGGTAAGATACAGACGACGTTACTTGAAACCAACCGATGAGAAAACATACATAAATCAAGAAACAAAGTAATTTTATTCCAATACTTCACATTCCGATACATTATACAAAGCTTAATATTATATATGACCTTACAATTTTACTATATGAAATCAAATGGTGACTGAGAGTCGCCTCTCGAGTGCAAAGGGTTAATTCTCATGTCATGTCTCATTTTAGCGTTACCTGAGTAGCTTTTTAGTTCCCGCAGCATCAGTGTCCTGTCCCATTTGAGCGACGCTCCTCAGTTTGTCCTGAACAGCTTTCAGTTTCGTGCTCACGAAATCCTTCAACGGCGTCATCTCTATTTTGTCAACTTTCCCCTCGATTTCCTTCTGCACTTCGTCCAGAGCTTGCTGCCAGATCGATTCCTGTGTTCCCAGTTTGTTAATGGCGTCCTCGAGACCTTGAGCGAGGTCATCGCAAGCAGCGTCGAATTGATCGTACGAGACCTGAGAAAAATATGAGACGTTACACACGTAATTACAGCAATTAGCGATAGGACATTTATCAACCTTTCTGTGCACTGTTTGAGCGTCAGCTTTGTCAGCCAGTGCATCCTCGAGATCTTCCCTGTCCGCTTTTATCGTCTTCAGAAGTTCAATTTGCTCCAGTAAGGCCTACAGAAAATGAATTACATCTACTGATAATTTCGTTTAGTAAAGATTCATTTGAATGAAAATTAGTAATAAAAGGAACGATTAAATTATCATAGAAATGTAAGCCTTATGTTGCTCCAGTAAGGCCCGCAAAAAGTGAATTACATCTACTGATAATTTCGTTTAGTAAAAATTAATTGAAATTAAAATTAGCGATGAAAGAAACGATTAAATTATCATAGAAATTACTTAAAAAGATTAAGTTAATATATACTGTATCACTTGGAAGAATATTTTATCCAGAAATAAAAGGAAAGAAGGCGAGAAAATAGAAAGACGATAAAAAGAATAGAAATAAAATTTCACTGGTTCTTAGTATCTCACATTAAGATGCATTTCACGATTCTCTCTGTCATCGATCAGTCGGTCCGCGGTCTGGTTCAATTTCTCCATATCAGTCTGGACACTTTGAATTTTCGAAACTAATTCATCGAGCTCCGGGCTACCAGTGACGCCGGCCATTGGCGCGCTGTTTACTTTCTCCTGCAAGCAAATCACATCTTTCTCCAACTTTAAGATACGCTCTTTCATGACTTTCATCTCATTTGGGTCTGTAAACTCTCCGAGATCCACAGTGTCCACATCCTTTTGCGTCTTTTTAGGGCTCACAGGACTCTTCGATAAAACTGGCTCAGCCGTTTCTTCAGATTCTTCTTCCACTGGTTCTCCTTCTGTCCCCGACTCAGTAGCTTCTTGCTTTTCTCCTTTTTCCTCCGATTTTTCTTCCTTGCGCTTCACCGTTTCGTCTTCTATTCGAAATTGCTTCGATCATTTCACAAACAACAATCGCAAACTGCGCTACAATTGATTTAATACTGCGAAACCCTTAGAACTCGTTCTTTGTATCATCGAATGTTTCACAATTGTTCAATTTGTTGTCAATAGCGATTAAGAAACTTTGAAAAATTTGTTGTGTATTATAAAATAATAATATTGCATTATATAATAATAAAATAACAGTGCATTATATAATAATAAAATAATAAGTTTACAAAAAATGTACATTTATTATTCGTTATTATTATTTATATTTGAAAATAAGTGGAATATTTATGAAATCCTTTTACCAACAGTTGAAACTCGAAGAATAAAAAATCCAAGGGAAGGTAATATTTGGAAAGAATTACCAGTCTGTATTTCAGCGACCTTTTCCATCAAGTTCTTCAGATCTCCCCGCATCGTTGAAACATTCTTCTGCAACTTGGTCACGTTTTCCTGCATTTCTTTTATGTCTATTCCGCCGAGTATCTGGCTCAAAGAAACCCGAGGCTGCACACCAATTTCCTTTTCGTCCCTCGCCGTTTCTGTCCCGGTGACCGCTCCCTCTCCGCCCTCGTCAGTCACATCAGCGATTACCTCCAAGTTCCTAACGGTGTTCTCCAAGTTATTAAGAACGCGCTCTAAGTTCGTCAATCTTTCCTCGAGTCGCGACGGCTCTTCTGGCGCCGCTTCCACGATTTTGTCGTCTTTGAACACATCTTGTACCATTGTCGTCAACTGGAAGCGACATGACACCATTCCACAATTTTCATATAACGATGAACGACAATTGTTTGAGGTAATCATTCGTTCATCATAATTTAACCTTTATCGGGCCGGAAGTATTTCAGGTTTACTTACCGCTAAACAATACTAACATAGATAACAAGCGGAAACTAATTCACGGAAGTGACCTGCGCAATGCTTAACGTGTTAACTCTTTGCGGACGAGAATTTGTTAATCTTTTGAAAACCTTTCTCATGGAAGAACTGAGTTATAATTAAATACTAGAGAAAGAGAACATTTCAAATCTCTTGTCATTTGATTAATTGAATTATTCATTTGCAAGTTTCGCATTTAGGTATCGAAGCCCGAAGTTTCCATTATGGCGGCATTCGACCGCAAAGGGTTAATTGTAAATATTACAACAATAGTAGTGATAAACTAATCAAATGATTTTTGCTGCTATTTATGTGGTATGGGTCTGTTAAGGGTTAAAATATATTGCTTCCCATCGAAGATATTAGATTCGTCGATACATGTTTCATATCTTTCTCTTTAATGCGACGCTTTTATTAATATATGCTAATAAATATTATATACCTTATCTATACCTTGCTCACTAGCATCCAGTCTCTTCGTGATGTTAATAATATTCCAGACATCTGTCAGAGGATCCGTAAGTTTACCCTTCAGACGATCAACGAGCTCTGAATTCGATGACAATTCCTCGAGCGCTTGGAATTGTCTTTGAAGCTCGTTCACCTGTATATGAATGCGTATTAGAAGAAATTGAACAGTGAGTGTTAACCCCTTGCTCTACGATTTATTTTTTAACTACGATCGATGTAATTAGTTTATCCTCAAATTCATTAGGAAAAGAACAAATTCTGTTGATTATTCTATCGACGTTTATTCTACGAAGGATAACAGGTGATAATAGAAAAGTATCATTTAATGTATATTTCAAAACAAATAAATGATACTTAGGTTTTTCGAAATCAATTTAAAATTTTCGTCGCGAGTTTAACACGATATTGTAGGTCAAGGGGTTAATTGAGTTACTCTATTTATTTGAATGAATCGAAATTGCTACTATGAATATAGCTGATCAAAGAATTGAACTAAATTAATCATTAATTAGTTGATCAAACAATTAAACTAAATTAATTATTAGTCAATTGATCAAAGAATTAAACTAAATTAATTATTAGTCAATTGATCAAAGAATGAAACTAAATTAATTATTAGTTAATTGATCAAAGAAATAAATTAAATTAGTTATTAATAAACAGCTAAAAATAAGAATTCCAAATTCTTAATTTAAAATGTTGTACAATTGCTCACGGTATGTTCGAGACGTTTAAATGCTAGAGCTGAAGGAATAACATCATTGACAATCGGTTCCACGTATATTACAGTTTCGCGTTCACTATCCCCTTTAGTTCCTATTTGTTGCTTCGTCCCTTTCAGTTTCCTTACTTCAGTTTGATCTTCTAAATTATTAAACATTGTTACGTCCTATTAATAATTTCACTGTAATCTTCTGTTAATAATTTTATTATACTCTTCGAATTTATCTAAGTTCACCGCCGATAATTAAAAAATTTTTTAAAAATGGCTGCAATGCAGATGAAGTGAAATTTTATAAGTAATTACCATTTCCCTGTTCGCGTTCCGTTAATGGAGCGCTCGCTGATTTCTTTGCGCGTTCTATTTTCTCCGATTCTGTAAAAAATGATTAGGATGATCAATATGTTATTATATATATATATTATGTGGTCAACAATTCGCGAGCGATAAAATTGCTGTACCATCTGTGACTGTATCGACTGTAACATTTACAACGTTGGTGTCGCGCGTGTGCTGTTTCACGTTCTTCGAGCCGTCGATAACGCTGTACTCTTGAAAATAAAGAGACGGTCCTGATTTTAAGGAAGTTACCATCGTCTGCAAACAATGGAATTGATAAATATAATTCTTACCGTGAAATAATAAGATAATATTTATCAAATTTTTACGAATTTACAAATTTATCAATATTTTCGAATGTTATGAGAACATCTGCATTGGGAAATATTAACATAATATATGAAAAACATTCCGTTACTATTTAATTAATTTTTCAAGTATTCAAAAATTATACAAATTTATCAATATTTAATGTTTGAATGTCACAAGAACATCTGCATTGAGAAATATTAATGTAATACATGGAAAACATTTCGATACTATTTAATTAATTTTTCAAGTATTCAAAAATTATACAAATTTATCAATATTTAATGTTTGAATGTCACAAGAACATCTGCATTGAGAAATATTAATGTAATACATGGAAAACATTTCGTTACTATTTAATTAATTTTCCAAGTATTCAAAAATTATAACTCAAGGATTGAAACCTGATACAGTGTTAAAAGAATATTCAAAATTTACACTAATTTGCTAGAAAATTAAGTACTCCTGGAAGACTACCTTAATTCGATTCGCATCTTCGCCGCGATATTCAACCTTCATCGATTTCAGATCAATCTGATGCAACAGTATGTGAAGGAAATTATGAAGAATGTTGAAATTCACCGCCCCGACCTAGACGTGAACGACGATACCTACCATTAAGGTGTCTCTTATCCACTCGTTTTATACAACTATCGTAAAATCAAGAAAATGATAGGCTTCTGTACCTCCGGTGTTCCTAGAGCAAGATCTAGCATTTGTGGCAAAGAAACCTGCAAACTTGTTATATCCTTAACAGCGGGCGGTGGCGGAGGTTTCGCAACTTTCGCCGACATCGTTTGTCACTCGAAAATTTTGAAATGCAGAGGACGAAGAAACATAATAAGAATTAATACACACTGTTCGCAGTTCTGACAGCTAAATGTCATTCGGCTACGTCATTTTAAGGACGCAACGTTCTTCGTTTGTCGCGTCAACAGACGCCATCTCGATTATCACCAGGAAATTATGATAACATATTTCCATGAACAATATTTCGAGCAGATATCTGGGATATTGTTTAGCTACTTTATTAATACATTTCCAACTCTAACGAAAGTCTGCGCTGCAAGATGATGTTTGTTTAACACTAGAATTACCGAGCAATTGATTTTTAAACATTTTTTTATAAAAAAGAGCTACGTGGATCAAGATATCAGTTGAGTTATATTTTAATTCGTATATTAAGAAATCAACTATTTTAATCATTATTTGAAGAATAAATGAGGAATGGGTCATTTCGACCTATCTGGCAGTTCTACTGTTAAATTAGCTGGGATGGTTCCTAACTCATTTTCTGAAGAAACCAGTAATAATTATTTAACTTTACACACACGATATTAACACTAGATTCACGGAACGAATCAATTTGACTCATACTGAATTTTCTAAGCATTCTTTGGTAAATAGTTGGGTCGATTTTTATTAACGTAGTTATGAAAATGTGTATCCCAATTGTCTACTCTTAAACCTCTAATTTCTAAGATCTAAATGATCAAACTGTACAGTAAATATCAGTAAATCTAGTGTCAAAGCTGAGAATCTCCAGTTTATCATGTATTTTATGGGTCTTCATGATATCCCATAAAGTACCGACAATAACAGAAAAATGAAATACTGCCCCCGATTTTTAATAGCATGCTCAATACGACTTCAGAAAACTAGGACTAAAATACGAATGTTAACTATATTATATGCATAGAAATGAGTAAGGAAGTAACAAATATAAGTGACAACTTAGAATCATAAAAATTTCCACACTTACCTTGCATTAAACATTACTCGATGCACAAGTTCGCAGCATTGTTCTTTACTTCATCCATCATCGAGGCATTCAACTGAAGATACACGTAAACGGACTCGGAAATAATTACAAAAAGTAATTGCGTATTATAATAAATGTTATTTCACATGTAGAATTACATAATTTACAAGCCGGAGTAATGACAACGCTCCATTTGTCCCATTATTGTATCCAGCTTCATCTAATATCTTTATACTATGAACCGAATAAATTGCAGTTTTTAAAATCCTCATTATACTACAGACAAAAATATGATATCTAATATTTACAAATGAGGTGTGTAACGCAAGCTTAACAATAAGTTCCCGAATCACTCGATATACATATATATATATATATAATATATGTGTATAATATAATATATATATATAGACAAGTTCGTTACAAGACGGCACAGTATGCGAACGTCGACCCGGGACGTCCGCTTGTCTAAAAATTATCAACAATTACGAGACACGTTCTTCCCAGTGCACGCCGGGCCTGTTTTATCGTAAAAATTACGTTTTTCTTTCTTTTATTCTATAGAAATATTTTGTCACGTCGCAGCATCGCTACGCTGTGCCCTGTTGTAAGAAGTTGGTTGCTCTCCCCTTGCGCAACACACAACGAAACTTATGCGTATCTGTCCGAGATATCCGTCGAATAAACGTCTAAGATCATTGTTGTTCGTTTTAGTTGCTCGTCACACTATTTACATGCGAGTATTTTACCTGAAAGTAGCGATAAAATATACAGGACACATCGAAACCACAGTGCAACGCGTACAAGCTAGAAGAGCTCATTGAAAGAAACGACGATTTACTCTTTTCAGTGCAATAATAAATATTCCTTGAAATCAGCAAACCGATTAATTGCTTTCTCCTTTTCCCTTCTACGATTATCTTACGTATACCGTAAGTAAACATTAGATAACGAATATTGATACAAATAAAGATTTCCCAAATTCTCCCATAGAAGCTAACATAAAAGAATCCACATTTCACTGGAAACCTCGAAAGAACATTAAAAAAAACGAAAATCTTAACACATTAAGGACCGCTCACGAGTTTTCTCGTGTTTCGCGCCTCGTATGTTTCACGCAATGTCACACTTTTAAATAAAATTCTATGATAATCATTAAAAACCAATTTTTTTTGATACTTGCCTAAAATACATCCTATTTTACAATTTCTGGATTTCTCTATTTTACAAATAAAAAAGTAATGAGAATTTTAGTAACGCGCAGGCTTGCCTAAGAACGTGCGCGCCTAGGCGTATGTCTTATAGATTTCTCAGCGGTCCTTAACGTGTTAAAAGTTCTCCCTTCATTTTACAGTGCACTCTGCAAAATCCACAGTTCAGTGTCACAGACTTCCAAACGACTTTCATTAAAATACATCCGTTTCCTTTAACCAGCTCCACTGTCGTGCAGTTCGCATTTGTGCTTTCGAAACATCTTGCACAGGGTGTTACAGCATAGTGACACGATCGCCAAACAGGAAACGCTTCACGGGAAAACGAGTGGAAAGGTCTAGGGTAAAATGCTTTCGCAGACCCTGAATGTTCACGACGAATGCATGCGACGAATCGCTGTATCGGATAACACCTAACCAAGACCTAATCAATTTTACCCCAGACCGTCCACGATGATTTTCGCGAGGAATCGTTTCCTCGTCGATTAACGGTGCACCATCGATAACATACCGTCTTGTATAACATCTACCGCATCGATTATGATATATTACTTAAACACTGTAAATCAGAAAGCCAAAAGGGATTCGGAATGCTTGCAATAGAGATGCGTTCGAATTATGAAACGAATGTCATGTATACAGTCACGTGAAATTATTCTCGCGTGGATGAGTATGGTATTCAGTTTATCGCTAGTTGGATTCTCCTTAGAAACATTTACCATTGCCACCATCCCGTTCTTATTAGCATGGTGTACTCCTTACTCTATGTTAGATGTACATATGGTAGGATACTCCGTTGAAATGATACGTTACACGAAGTCACGTTCCGATAAGAGGGTGGAGTTTCAGCGAATGCGAACTCAATAGTGGATTCTCTGAGACACGAGTTGACTGTTGCCGGCCATTGTTCACTGTGAACGTCTACTTATATTCGGATCAACACGCAGGATGCTGTAAAATAATTATCGATACAAATATATATATATGTATATATAGTAATAATAATAATAATAATAATATATATAAATATATATATGTGAGTATTTTTCTTACGAGCTTCACCCCCCTCGATTCATCGTTCTCTTTAAAATCGTTACTCTTTTTTTAATCAATATGGCAGAATTTCTTAACATCGGTTTTATTAACATAAGGTCTACAAAAATTATTGCGTGTTACATTTCGTTACACCTTCAGCGTTAGTACGTTAGATCGTTTCCCTTCTCTTTCATCTTTTCCGTCTATTTTTTCTTTTTTCTCTTTTTCTTTCTTCTTTGTTACAATTTACACGCATC